CTGATGAAATCCAGGGCCTTCTGTTTCATTTTGCTGAGTTTCCATCTCTAACTACAAACACAATCTAAAATGTAACCTTTATTTTCTGGATTGCTTCTGGCAAAGCTAACATCTGGGCTGTACACTTTGGAAAGGTGCCCCAGGGCATTGTTGAGTTTCAATCTGACTTTGCCAAGCATCTGAAAGGCAGATACATAGTGAGACAGTGGTGACTCTGGCTATTTCTAGTTAAGCGAAATAGGGTGGCAGATATTACACAGGTTATCATGGGAGGTTGGAAGTAATCAACTCTCAGATAGCACTGAAAATGGAACTGGGTTATAGGTAGAAAAGCTGGATAGGAGCCTGTAATGACCAATGTTTCCAATGGCATTACCATGAAATAACTTGAAAAACGAGTAGTCCTGTGGCACCTTAGAGACCAACAAAAATATATATATTTCGAAACCTTCAGGGGTAGGCGAGTTAGTCTGTAACGGGAAAAACTTAAAAAACAACAAATAGTCTAGTAGCACCTCAAAGACTAACAAAACATGTAGATTGAATCATTAGCTTTCATGGGCAAAACCCACTTCTTCAGATGACCAGAGTATAAGAAGTCCAGATCCAAGAATAAATATATTTCTGTTAGTCTCTAAGATGCCACAGGACTACTTGTTGTTTTTAAAGTTACAGACTCACACAGCTACCCCTCTGAGACTATGAAATAACTTGAGGGCTGTGTCTACACTGGGCCACTTATTCCGGAAAATCAGCCACTTTTCCGGAATAAGCTGCGAGCTGTCTAAACTGGCCCCTTGAATTTCCGGAAAAGCACTGACGATCTACTGTAAGAAATCAGCTGCTTTTTCGGAAAAACTATGCTGCTCCCGTTCAGGCAAAAGTCCTTTTTCCGGAAAACTGTTCAGGAAAAGGGCCAGTGTAGACAGCACAGTAGTCTGTAGTCTTTTCCGAAAAAAAGCCCCGAACGTGAAAATGACGATCGGGTCTTTTTTTCTGGAAAAGGGCGTCTACATTGGCCATGCACGCTTTTCCAGAAAAAGGGCTTTTCCGGAAAAGCATCCTGCCAATGTAGACGCTCTTTTTCCGGAAATACTTACAACGGAAAACTGTTCCGTTTTAAGCATTTCCGGAAAAAGGTGCCAGTGTAGACGTAGCCGAGTTGTTTTGACTTAAGAAGTTGTTATTTTTGCAATTACATATAGAATAGTTTGCTATTCTTTCCTCTCCTCCCCCAAAGAAGAACATCAGACACAAAAGCCTACTGCAGCATCAGGTCCATAGTTTTTATAGTGAAACAGGATCAACCTCAGTCCCATTCCCTGCCCTTTCTCTCAAGAATTTTGTTCTCTTAATAATTATGTATAATCCCGAATTAAAATTAATCCATGTCATAAGTGTAGCTCTCTTCTCTGAAGAGAGGAACAAAACAAAATAATCAGTACATAAACTGTCCTTCAAACAGCACTGGAGGAGAACTAGCTAGTCTACCACTTGCTGTAAGATATGGGTAACACATAAGCATAACAACACAGCAATGTTATTTCGAAATAATGTCGAGATGGAGGACTTCTTACTCTGACTCTTGTACCTAGGGTTGCCAAGTGTCCAGTTTTCCACCAGACAGTCCGTTATTTGCGCTCTCTGCCCGGTAAAAAAAATCAGAAAATACCAGACATGTGCAATGTCCAGTATTTTCTGAATTTCCAGCTGGGCGCCGGATGGAAGCCTGGCGGGGGCAGGGGAACAACTGGGAGACCTTTGGCGCGAGACACGGACCCGCCGCTCAGGTCCCTGCCAATCACGGCCCCCCC